GTGTTTGTGTGGGGGGGGGTTGTCTATGTGTGTGTGTGTGTGTGCGTGTGTGTTTGTGAGAGCGGTTGTCTATGAGTGTGTGTCTTGTTTTTTTTTCTGGTTTTATGTTTTCCATTTTTTTTTAATACATACGAACTTCAAAAATAACAGCAAAAAATGGAGTTGTACATCTCCAAAAGATCTACAGATTCTACACCCTTACTATTATTATTTTTTGTTTGTTTATTGGTTGCCCGCCAAACGATCTCTGTGAAAAAACTTCAAAAAAAAGAAAAACCCACCCATTTCATCTTTTTTTTTGTTTTTTCCTTTCTTTTTATGTTTTTTTTTTTTTTTTTTTTAATGGCGAAACTTCAAAAAATAAAATAAAAAACCCTATATATATATTGCATACTTTTTACCCGAGAAAAAAATATTCCCGCGCCCGCTCAAAAACTTCAGCGCCGACCGCACGCTCAATCAGCGCGAGGTTTCATAGCGGCACAGCCATTTTATCCGGAATTTAAACCACAAGTACACGGCCCCAGCCTTGCAGCCTGAAACTTATTGCCACAAGAAAACGAGGCCGAGACGTCAAACGCTGGGCCAGCCGTTTGGTTTTGGTTTCGCGCCTCCAGAATTTGAGGTGTCAGGCCCGCGGCCCAGGTGCCTATGTACTGGTGCTTTAAGATCGGATGAAATTTTCGATTTGATTCCTGATAAAGGAAATCCGACCCTGCGCAAAATAGGGCTTTTTGAACTTTTTTCCCTAAAAAAAAAAAAAATCTGAAAAAACAATGTTGTAGATATAAATCACATAATCATATAAACAATACAAACAACTTTTGGCTGGATGTCATCTTTGATATCCCAACAGAAACGAAGATAAAAAGTTAAAAACTGAAAAAAAGTAAAATAAAATAATTCAACAATTTTGAGATAAAATAAATTGAGCAACCCCCCTCTAGAGTCTAAACCCCTTAATTCCCTATCTATATACCCCTTTTGAACCCTTTGATGACCAATCAAGCTCTTTATGAACTAGAAGCATAGTTCTGTTGTATTTAATATATGCAATATCACTCTTTATTTTCTTTTTCCTTTTTTCTTTTTTTGACATTTTTTTGGCCTTTTTTTTTTTTAATTATCCGCATTTCCGGATAATCCGGCCAGATTATCTGCGCTACCTAGTTTCTTTTCCCATTAAAAAAAATGGCAGATGGACAAGACTGGTTCCAGTTGAGAGAAAATTTCGAGCAAAGTGGCCATCAGTGCGCCTGCGAGAGTTTTATAATCATTCATCACCATGGAAGAAAGTTAAGAGAAACTTCAAAAAGGGACGGAAGGGGAAACAAGTGCCCACCATTGCTCTATATATTTTCATCCGAACGTCTCAGTATTTTCCTCCTTTTCCTGCATCACAACAAAAAAAAAAAACACAGTCATTTTGCAGTCTTAACTTACTCTCAAGTCTTTTTTTTCCCTTCTTTTTTCCTCCTGTTTTTTTTTTTTTTTTTTTTTTTTTTTCCTGGTTAAACCAGGCGATGATAGGCCCTCCCTCCACTACTCAACATTCAACGTGTATCTGGCATGCAATCTTCACCAGATACATTCTAACCGGTCCAACCTTTTGAATGTATCCGGATGCAGTCTTACAGGTCCAAAAAAAAATCAAATGGGCATTGCTCAAGCATCTGAAACACCCTTTCCTTTTTTTTTTTTTTCTTTTTTTTTTTCAGTTTTTAGTTTTTCAAACTTTTCCCTACTAACATTACAAAAGTTACAGAACTTTCGATTAGTATGATTTCTAAGAATTTAACATTCCATATTCGTGTCATGCAGGAAAGCTGTCTCCAGGGGAGCAGTGGCTGAGGCTCTTCCAGCCCTAATGGGAAGAGGCGTGTGGTTAAATGTTGTAATCAAATTCATAATTGGAGCCTTGGGAACTGGACCCATTTGAAAAAAAATAAAAATAAAAAAATAATAATAAATTACATTCCACCACCCTCTTCCCCCCGTAGCAGTTGTGATTTCATTACGATAAAGTGGCATAAACGCATCCGGTCTAACCAGGCCGGGCTTGAGTGCAGCAGCATATGCACTTGGATAACCGCTGCAACCATCTTCACCCCAATAGAATGCCCGCAGTGCCCCGTGATTATCACTGTATCTAGACTGAAAGTTGCCTCAAATACAGCTATAATGACCAGACGTTCTATTTGAGGGAACGCGGTAGCAAGCGAGATAGCACCGCGGCAAGCCCGAGCAAACATGCAAGGTCAATGAGCAAGGACTGTGTCCTCATAATTTATTATTTTGCTGTTAATTAAAAGTCTGAAAAAAAGTCCTTTGGGACATCCTTTAAAAGTGGAACGATACACTGGATACAGAGAAGATCAAATAGCATGGCCCTTGGGCAAGGATGACATGTGTAGGTCGAGAAATCGTCAAAATCTGCGTAGCATCGTGTTCGCGTTCGGAGGCGCATCACGAACATGTTCGCCCGAACGCGAACGAGCGCCCAAAACCCTCCAAACGCGAACATAAAAAAAAAAAAATTTAATATATATATCGCCAAACAGAGCTGCCCGGTAAACCGTAGGCAAAGAGAGAGAGGAGAACAAGAAACGAGGAGGGGGATGTGACAAAGAGTTTCGTCGGAGTTTCACCTATCTACTCATCAGGAGGCTGAACCGATGAGAGTCTACAGCAGAATCCCCTAACTGATTACACTGTAAGTGATAATCCACCTTAACCCCAGTTGTAGTTAAGCATCAACCACTGCCCGACAACTGATACCCCTCTGAGGAGGTGGGCACCAACCACTGCCCTCAAGGTACCTGTGACGAAAATCAAAGAGGACTATCACTCACCCACGCCATCCGTTCACACCTATATATATTGTCACATTGTGAATCAGAGCGCAAAAAAGGGAAAAGAAAAAAGGAAAAGGAAAAAAGGGAAAGGGAAGGAGGTAAGGAAAGCTCCACCTGTTCATAACCTCTTACGTACAAGGCCAGCCACGTGGATGACAGGTTGAGCGCTGGCTGCCCCCATCCCCGTGTGTCACAAGGACCCACTTG